TTTATTAAGCATTTTGAATTTTTTGTAGCTAAGAACTTTTATGTGACATCTGTGAGTATTTCTTTGAGGAAGTAGATGCACTGAAGTCTCTTCATGTCAATTAAGTGAAAGTGCTTGTTCATTAATTGCATAAGTTCTTTTTATTCTCTTATTACTCTATCTTTGATCTTCTCTAGTATTTTCATCTGAAATCAATGTAATCTTTCTTGCTATGTAGCAGGCAAATACACTGGAACATACTTCTTCTTCAGAATAGAAGGATAATATGTTATGATACTTGATCTTCCAAAGCATAAAATTATATAATCGCTCTTTTTATTTTCAAACTATCAAGAAAAATGCAAGTGAAATTTTGGAAGTTATTTTGGCTGCATAATAAATGGTTAATTATGTGACCTACATGCTGTGTCTCAGGCACAAACCTGCTCAGTGGTCTGTGATAAAAGGCCTTATTAAATATTATAGTGATTTATGCATATCTGCAGGCAGATATAACCTTTAAAAAGGAAAAATATAAAAGGAAACAAAGGGAAACTGCTTAAAACCAAGTCCTGTGGGCTTGGAAGTAGAGAAGAAACAAGTAGCACATATTGAAAGCATCAAGGCAAGCATACTCAATGCAGATGTGTTCACAGTGGCTGCCCCCAGCTGTGAAATATAAAAAGTCATCTGTCTGTGGTCTTGTAATGTTCATTGGTTTGTTGTTCTCAAACTGATAACACTGAACTGTTCTAATTCATTTTTACCCTATGGTGGGATCTTTTCTATCCACAGCTTTATGACCCATCCAGTTTCCAATACTACTCTGCCATCAGTCATGTGCACTTGATCACTTTAGTGCGGGATTGTATTTGCTCTGTTTTTCTTGATTATTTTATTTTTATTTTCCGTAATGCTACATGCTTAGCACTGCACGAGGCAACACCTAGAATGTACATTTGCTTATGGTTAGAACTTTGTCACAGTGGCCCTGCCAAAGCTCCTTCCAGAGTTCCTCTCGGAAAAGCTGCTGCAGAGCAGAACTTTTCCCTGTGGTGAAGGGTTTGCAATGGCAAAGAGCAAAAGTGTGGTCTGTGGTTTGTTCATTTCTTCAGTCCTAAAGTTCCCCAGGCAATTTTTTGCATCAGAATTGCACTTCAAAAGAGGTTTACACCTCTATACAGCGTTCAGATGGCAGTATTTATTCATTTGGTTATTAGGTTACAGATCATTAACCCTGAAACATTAATTGGATTTGCAACTATTTGAACATAGGCTCCCCAGGATTGTAAAACCAAGCAGCAATACCTGTGTTTTCATTTTAGCTCATCTGTCTTTTCATGGGCTAGTGTGTGATAAAGTGGATTTTTTTTCCTCTGTGCAATTTCATTACACAATGTCCTGTGTATCCAGGCAGGAAATGTGAAGTCTGTAGTCAAGATAAAAATACAAGATTATTGATTTACCATGGCTTAAGTGATATTTTTTCATTCACTTTTCTCAGCCACGCAGTGTTTGTGGTAGTATCTTTGATCTTCCCAATCCCTAGCAGCAATGTTTGCACAGTATACAATTCCTAAATATCTTTCATCCTGCTGTATTTATCAACTTCCTTTGTTTCTCTTCAAATCTTTTTTTCTCTGCCAGCTCTTGAAAAGTGTCTCAGGGCAAGCAGACAGCCTGACCAGGCTCAGAAAACCTTCTCTAAGAGAGAAAATAGATTAGACTACAGTAAACCAAAAGTTGGCATCAGGATTACTTTGAAATTATGACAGGCCAACACGTAATTGCCACTAATTATCTCTAAGCCTTGAGCAGAGATGCATAACAAACTGGCATTGCCAGGAATGATGATTTTACTGAGCTCATAGACTCTTAAAGAAGAAAAGCTAGGCTCTGGTTTTTCAGCTTGGCTTGGTTTGCCTCTAGGTGTTAGTTCCAGAAGACAATAAGAGTGCATTATCAAAGCTCTTTGGAGTCAAGGGAAGTGATTTGTCTCTTGTCTTGTCAGTATCATTGGTGTGAGGCAGGGAACCACGATGCTGTGTTAATGTGTTAGAGTACTAAGCAATTCTGCTGTCACACCTAACTCAGCCACCCATGGTCTGAAAATTGGGTCATATCTGACTGGAGACACTAGGTGGTTTGTTTCTGCTGGGTTTTGTGCTCTTTTGTTTGTGAGTAGAATGTTGAGTCTTTTTGGGGTTTATTGAGAGGTTTTTGTTTGCAGTGAGTTTTTGGGAAATTGGTTTGTTTTCTGAAGCTGTTCTGAAGCATTTTGTTTGGGTTATGGTAAGGATTTCTTGTGAAACACACAAAAGCTTGTCAGGTGCCAGGAGCCAAGGGTTTTCTCATGTCTACCTCACTTGGAAGCACCAAGAGGGATTAGAAGCAGGGCCTTCCCAGGTCCTTCACACAGAGGGCAATATTTGGGGTAGACGAGAGTGTTTTCATTCAACTCAACTGTACTGTTTTGGCAGTGGGCTCCATAAATATATTGGATGATGCCACCAGAGAATTTCAAACAGAATAAAAAAAGGCCAGGAAAATAATATCAAAACAGTTCACCATCTTTAGTAATAAGACATTTACCTGCTGTCAAGCTGACCTGATAGTCTTTCATCTTTTTTTTGGCCTTCTTAAGATAGACTCTGTTCAGTGCAAGGGCTGTATAGGTTGGATGGGCCTCTGAGCAACCTAATCTGGTGAAAGGTGTCCCTGCCCAGCAGGAGAATTGGAAATAGACAATCTTTAAGGTCTCTTCCAACCCAAAGAATTCTGTGATTCCGTATTTATCCTTGTGTTCAGAAAGCAGCTAACAAATTGTAGATGTGGTTGAGATGTGAAGAGCAACAAGGAAACAGTATTGCATATTATTATTATTATTATTGTATATATTTAGTTCTTCACCTCTCTTATGATTTAGAAAATGTTTCTCTCTGCTAGTATTCTTCTATTTAATTTAATATTTAAATACTTGTAAAGAAAATACAAAAACCTTTCTTTTGGTACAGTAAAAATCAGTATTTTTAAAGCTTGCAAAAATAAATATTTAATAGCCCAGTGGGTATAGCAGCACTTTTAGCAAGATTCATGAGCATGTGATGTGCCTGAAACAACTCTGCAACCTTAAGATTAGATCACCTTAATAATTGCTTTAAATTGTTAAAAATGTTTAAAAATATTTTAGTACATTGTGTAGCCCTGAAGTTAGGAGCACCCCTTCCTTTGTTCCCTATTTCACCTTCTCCTTCTTTGCCCTTTAGAACTGAAATTCAGCATTTTTGTGGGTTTCCAGCGCAGCTGCGTCAGGAAGCAGCACCGTGGGAGAATTTGCATATTGATTCCCTTGTTTGCAAAGGAAAAAAAAAAAAAGAAAAAAAATCCACAGGAAAGCTGGAGGCATGAAAGGCTTTAAATTTTTTTTGCCTACACTTACTAAAGGGTTTTATACAATTGCAGAGTATCTTTGCTGTCTGATACCTGAGATGAGATACATCATTAGTGACTCATTGGAGTGGGTACCAGAGGTACAGGAAGCAGGCTCTTAGGCTGGTTTTCCTGCTTGGTGGAGTGAGCTTGCATGAATGCATTGTGCAAACTCAAAGGAGGCTGAAGGAGAAGTTTTAAAGGGAGGGAGAAACTCATTCATATTTTTATCCATTGGTGAATTTTATTCTTCCCTTACTTTGCCAGAGTTGACAGGGCAGTATTTCCCAAACAGCACACCACTGATGGTGTGTGAGCTTGATCAACTCACTGACTTCACAGCAGGTTTTAGAAGGTGGCAAGTGAATTTTTGGCTTTTGAGCTCTGAAGCTGGTTTATTAACTACATCTTAAGGATTGGTGGCTGCAGCATGGGTCTGCTGTTGCAGCTCCTGGGCTACGTGGCAGCAGGGCTCCCAGCAGTCACCAGCACTGCCTTCCTTCAGCAGCTCCCAGGATCCTTGTCTGCTTTCCCAAGGACCCACGGGATGCTGCTGACAGCAAAGAAAGCTGTGTGGCACTAGGCAGCAGTGCTCAACCATGAGTGCTGGTCTACTATTGCTGAACCTCTAGGGAGCATCTAAAGCATTTGGTGTGTGTGCTCAGGAGGTACAACAGTAAGCACTCATAGTTCCGAGTGAAACACCTCTGACGTTCTCTGGAATAAGTCTTGGTCTCGTACACAAACTCCTGCTGACTTAGTGTGAGGCCTGTATTTCTCCCACCATAATGCCTGAGAGCAAATGAGCAGGTTTTGGTGTTTTTCTTTTATTCTCTACCTTTATAGATATAGGGTAGAGGTGGTGCCGTTCAATTTCTTGTTTTGTTTGTAAAAAGTACCATATGTGCAAAATAATATTGCCTTGGTTTGTTCTGCCAACTGAGTATTCTGGTTGGATAAGCGTCTTTCTGCTAAAAAATGTATAATTAGAATGTTTTATTTTAAAGGTAATTTTGAATTTCTTCTAGAAAAAGCCTACTTTCTTCTTATGATAGCTTATCTTCTTCGTTTTGAATTTGTTATTATTTGCTACCTTAGGTAAACTTACTATAGAAGTGATTGCTGTAATCCACAAAAAAATGTAATTTTCTGGTTAAAAGCCAGACAGTGGGTATCTCACAAGAGACATAATCCAGTAGTGTTTTCTTTCTTTTCAACTAGAATTCTAGATTCTAGCTAAAATTTCAATTCTACCCTATCTATAGTTGTGCTTTTTCCTTTATTGTTTTTGTATTTGTGTATATCCTAATATTTACTGCTCCCTTGTTTCCTCCTTTATGTTAACAAAATAATTTTCATTGAAAGGCATTACTGTTACCTCCACAGGCATCTTTCATAGCAAGTCATGCGTTCTTTTTTGTTCCTTTAAATGTTTTCACCTTGCCATTTACAAATTAGATTTTCATTTACTGATGTTTGAGCATAAGCCCATCTACAAGGCCTTAATTTTTTTTCCTGTTCTAGATGGAGATCTTTGACCTTAACTGCCTAGCTGATGATGCATGACAGATGTTTTTTGGTTTTATTTTCAGTGCTTTGCTGTGCGATCTCTGGGCTGGGTAGAAATGGCAGAAGAAGATCTGGCTCCAGGAAAGAGCAGTGTTGCTGTGAACAATTGCATCAGACAGCTCTCTTACTGTAAAAATGACATCAGAGACACTGTTGGCATTTGGGGAGAGGTAAGAACAGAGCAAATTTCTCCTCCTCTTGGAACATGTCTCTTGCATCATAACACATCTCAAAGGACCAGTTCTGTAGACAGCTATGTCCATGCTCTGTGTTTGGGGTTTCACTACCTCAGCCTGGCACTGCCAGATATACAAAAGTGTTCAGGGAAAATGTTGACTTTGTTGTTCCAAACTGCTCAGGGCAGCAGATGCCACAAAGAGCTCACTTTCATGTTATGTCTGTGCTAGTACACACCTGTGCAATGGTATTGCTGGGGACACACAGGCCAAACTGTTGGAAATCAGTGTAAGTCTTCCTCCTGACCAGAGGTCTGAAAGTGATGCTTTGTAACAACATTTTCAAAGATTTCACAATGACAAAGGGCTTTAAGGAAAACCACACTGGCAGGGTTGTGGTTCTGAAATGTATTAGAAAATTGGAACCGATGGACAGATGGTTTGTCTTATGATGATTATTTTATCAGTGTTTCAGAAGGAAATTAATGATATGTCATCAGTCTGTCTGTTGGCTTCTCTCCAATAACTCTTGTGTCTCTGCACCAGTGTCATCCAGTTTTGAAGGATGCCAGATTCCCACACAGTGAGGGAAAAAGAGAAAGTCCAGCTTTCCTCTTTCTTGGTTTGTTGAAGGGTCAGTGTGCTCTCATCAGCTGAACCATGGTTGCTCTGTGCTTCTTTCTAAGTTGGCAGCAAATAGAGGATAATGCTGTGGGAACTTGGGGAAAACTTCAGGTTTTGTGATGTGGAAAATAGGTGTGCTGGGGACAGATGAAGAAGTGGAAGATGTTGAGGGGTCAGTAAGTGAAACAAGGAGAGAAAAGCACAGGAGACAAAGCCACAGTAAAATATCTTTGTTATTTGATTGTTCATGAAACAACTTAAACTTCTGCCAAATCTTATTTTCTGCCTCTCTCCTGACATATTTTCAGAAGGGTTACACTACTGTGAATTTGCCACACAATATCTGAATACAAAAGTGACAGAAGAGTGAATGTTGTAACTTTTCCTTGTGTGATCTAAGAGAAATGGCACTGCCAAACTAAAAAGAAATCAAAAGAAAGACTAGTCTACGTTTCATTAAAGATTTCAGGAAAAATAACATTCAATCTCCCAAGTTATTGTTCCAGTCTATGGCTCAAGTCCACCATCCTGACTATGACCACAGCAATGCCAAGATGCTACAGGGGAGCTACTGAAAGAAAGTGCCCTTAAAAATTAAAATTATGTTTAAAGGAATACATTTATAGTGTTACATCTATTTAAAATAATTTCAGAAGGATTTTTATATGTAAGAAATATATATTGTACATATAAATGAACAAAATAATATTGTTTTCCTTTCTTCCTTACACCTGGGAACAGTTTTATTAAGATAATATATCTAGACAAGCAATTAGAGATGTGTCAGTCATGGACTTTGGACTTACTGCTGGCCCTAGGAGAGAAAAAACTCCATCTTTATATGTGTGTAATCTCATCCATTTTTTGGCACTTAGATCAATTTGAAATATATTGTTTACTTTGAACTCTCATGATTTATGAGTTAGTGTTCACATTTTTTTATATTTCTCTCTGTCAATCCCCTTATTCTTCATTGGAAACCCTTACAGGTTTTCAAGCCAAGCCAGTGAAAAGTTTTGGTCCTCTTGAATGGATGTTTAAATTTAGAGTGCTATTCATTAAAAAGAAAAAGAAAAATCTGCTTGAAAAAACAATAGAGACACTGTGCTTGAATAGGTGGCTCCTGAAATAAATTGTCTTCCTGATTTTAAGAGTTCATTACATCCAGACACATTTTCCTGCCTGGAGTATAAGGACTCAAGAGTGATTAGAAAAGGCACATTTTAGAGAGGAGCCTGAAAAAATTATACTCCATCACTGATGAATCAGATGGAGCAATTATAGCAGGAATCTATTATGAAGCTAAATTACTGCATGCAGGAATTTCAAGGTTGCCTAAAGATTTACTTTAGCTAGAATATAATGAAACTGAAACTGGGGTAAGGATTAGTCCCAAGTTTTCATGATTTAAAAATCTGCAAAACAAACCACAGAAACCTCCCACACCTGGGTAAAATCTTGACCTGCAGAACCTTAGTTAGTGGATTTAATGTGGGATTTCATGCCTTTTGCTCAAAAAAAAAAATTACTATAAATTTTGAACTTCTACTGTTCTGTAAAATCTAAAAAGAAAAACACTATTTATCTGTTTGTGTTGCTCTTTTGCCATGAATTATCACTTACATGAAAAAGATACCTCCTTGCCATTGACCTATATACTACAGCCCGTAACACTTCCAGAAAAAACTGCTGGGATTGAGCCTCTCTTTCCTTCATTCATTTTCTCTCTATGGCTCTTCCTCATCTCACACCATCAGATCTCTGCAGCTCTTCGGCAGTCTGAGACATTAAAGCCTGTGTTCAAGCTCCTAGCCTGTCTAAATAATTTCTTTTTGACCTATGCAGTGCTTTCATCTCTAAAATAGCTTTTGTATAATAAGGCAACAAAATTTAGCAAAATTTATTGCTTCTGGCTGCAGACAAGTGATCCCCCTGAGCATTGCAAGGATAATTTCCTGTGACTTATGTTGCTTATCTGCTCATTCTCCAATTTTTTTCCAGCTAATTTGAATTCCATTTTGTTACTCTAATCCCAGTGTATTTTGCATGAATAACATATTTTTCTTTCTTGTAATAATTTCCTTCTGGAACAAATATATAAGTATAAAATAGGTCCAAAAAGCAATCTTTGTGACACTTGGTAGCATTCTTCGCACAATTTGTTTACTGCTTCTGACCTCCAAGCTAATTTCTCCCTTTTTTTCTCTGTGATGTTTCTTTTTCTGTCTGTGCTAACATCTCAATGCTGCTGGTTTGCCCCATTTTTTTCTGCATGAATACCACAGCTACATCTGTTTCTACTTCTCTAGAAGCAGCCTATATGTCCAGCCTTGCACCTCAGCCTCAGATGTGATATTTCCGTCAGGCGAAATATGCTTGTGTTGGCTCATACCAGGTGTCACCTATCTCTCCCACATCCCTCTTGGTACTTGTACTGCCAACTCTGTGTCACAGCTTCCCTTGCAATCTCTGTTAAGAGATCTGGGGTTGGGGGAGGAGATGGGCACTGCCTGCCCCTTGCTACCTTGCCTACAAACAGTGGCAGAAAGCCCTCACAGAGTGACATTAATGTATTTCTTATCCAGACACAAAATTAGACATCATAAAGACTTGAACCACAGTAATCAAGTGGGAAGAGGGTTTCTGTGTCACTGAGGTGAAGAAAAAGGTCAGTTTTGAAACATTAATCAGCTGGGATTCAGACCCTTTCCATTCTTTCTGTTCATGCATAGATTCTGTCAGAAAAGGGAGGAAACAATATGTTTAGCTGATAGCTTCCACCTTCTGATCAGCAGGAGCTTATCTTACTGCTCAGCAATAGGTCCAGGATAATTTCTGCAGGATCTCATGGTCTGAAGAATCTCTGTACAGCCTCCAAGAAGAGGGATATTACATGTGATAGAAGAGGCAGCAAACCTATTACGAATGCAGTCAAGAGAAGGAAGATAAGCATTTGTGAATTAGCATCAAAAGGAAAATTGTCTCTAAATTTGTTTCCTGTAAGAGAAATAAGCATTATCTTTGCTCTTACATGCCAGAAGAATTGTGGAGAAGTCCTGGCTCCAAGATTCTGCAGTCACTAGCAGAATTCACATTCAGATCTTAATGCTAGGTTTTCCCCTTTCATCTTTCTTCAAAGAGTAAATCATTTGACACATACAAATTGCTGTCTGTTCCCATAATCCATTGGTTAAAATTTATGGAAACAAAACACTTTGAAGGGAGAAACTCTGCCCCAAAAGTACAGGTTTTGATATAAGCTTTTACTGTGAGGACAGACCATGTCTTCTCATATATTTGGAAGAATTTACTTAAAAACAGATAAACACATAACTTGTTGAATAACTCAGTAGTTTGGGTCTGAATGAGTTGTATTTAAAAGATATCAAAGCTTTTTGTGATTGAGATTGTTTAAAAATGTAGTAGCAAGGTAACATCTTAGACCTTTCTCACACCAGAAGTATGTGAAGTTTTTTCCATTTTCTCTTGGAACAACCTAAAGCTTTGAGTAAAGATGAAGCTAGTTTGAACAGCACAGTCATAACACCTTGAGCCCAGCCAGTTTGAGAGGGTGATGTACTGTGTAATTGTACTTTGTCTGGAACTGCAGGGCAAAGACATGTACCTTATACTGGAAAATGACATGCTGAACCTGATTGATCCCATGGACCGCACAGTTCTGCACTCGCAGCCCATTGTGAGCATCAGAGTCTGGGGCGTGGGGCGTGACAATGGTCGGTGAGTATTCACTTTTGTCTGTCTTGGCTTGATGCTATTTCAGTCTGCTAATAAATAGTACACGTTATTCTGTCCCAGGGCCTATGAGAAGGTGGGTAAATTCTTCTTTTTGTTGCTGCTGTTACTTTCTCAACTCTATGCTTTTGGTGGTGTATCACTTACATACTGTTTTGTTAAACCTTCATTGAACAAGCCTTTCAGATTAACTCAGGTACATAAAACTGCAAACATGTAACATTGATTTGTTTCAGATGGATGTAGTACTTTGTGGTATAAAAGCATGTTTTCAAATATGTCTTGTAGTATTTCTCCTGGCTATGTGAAAGCATGTCTTCCTGCTGGTTCAAGTTAAATGTACTACCACTGCTCTGACTGTAGGCATGTGTTTCTACTTTCTTGAGATACTTAATGTGATGGAGAAAAAAATCGTATTGAGGGAAAAATATTGGATTTAAGTCATTACTGTTACTTCTAGTTCTTGATGTAAGAAAATCCCCAAGGGTGTTGCAGAAAACTGAGGTTTGTCCCTGAGATGTGCTGCCTGCGAGCTGAATGTCTCCCAGTCTGATTGGGCATATTGAGGTAGCAAAAATATTGCCATTCCCATCAAGAAAGTCCAGGATCTTAGGACAGTACCTGTCCTGACACAAGAATAGAAAGTAACACTATTTCGAGTAACACTAGCAAGCTTTTTGTGTCCATGTTTGATAATCTCAAGTCCTGCATGAGCAATACTGGCTGTGATGCAATAAGCAGATCTCTATAATCTCAAGTCCTGCATGAGCAATACTGGCTGTGATGCAATAAGCAGATCTCTGGACAAGGGAAGGGCTGCTGATGTCATTTATCTGGACTCCTGAAAGGCTTTTGGTACAGTCTCCTACTACATTCTTCTTTCTAAATTGAAGAGATATGGATTTGATGAGTGGACTGTTAGATGGATGTGAAAGTGGTTTGATAGTTGCATCCAGATGGTAGTTATCAATGGCTTAGAGTCCCAATGGACATCAGTGGCATCTGGTGTCCCTCAGGGATCTGTACTGGGACCAGTTTACTTAATCTTCACCTAATGTGACCTTCCAGTACCTGAGGGAATTTACAGGAAAGAGGGGGTGAGGCAGTTTACAAGAGCATGCAGTTGACAGGTAAAGGAAGAATGGTTTCAAACTGAGAAGAGTAGATTTAGATTACATCTCAGGAAGAAGTTCTTTACTGTGAGAGTGGTGAGGCACTGGAACAGGTTGCTCAGAGAAGCTGTGGATGCCCCATCCCTGGAGCGGTTCAAAGCCAGCTTGGATGGAGCTCAAAACAACTTGGTCCAGTGAAAGGTGTCCCTGCCTAAGGCAGGGGAGTTGGAAACAGATGATCTTTGAGGTCCCTTCCAGCCCAAGCCATTCTGTGATTGTCAAGGTATTTGCAATTGTAGGGGTTTGGGTTTTTTTGTCTCTAACTTTTGATAGAAAATGTAATTTCAAATATGAACAATCTTTCCTAGTAAAACATTTTCTGAAACTTGTTTTATCTGCCTCAAAGTTTCTGATTACCAGTGGCTAAATCTTTAAAAGGAAAGGTGACTTATTTTTTAGGTGACTAGAGGTTTCTAATTTTTTTGCTCTTATAAATGACTGATAGTTGACTGGGCATGGGTTAACTGTTTTTCACTTCCATTGGTACAGATTTTTGAGAGATCTAAAAGGGGAAAATCCAGTTTGAAATGCTGGGAAGTAAAAAGGTTTTAACTCCTAATGAATAAAGCATTAGAATTCTTTGTTTGCATTAGAAAATGGGTGCATTACACATTTCCCTTCAAGTCAGTTTTTGTAGTACCTTGTTTCAGTCAGAAAATAAATAGAGCATTTTAAGGAACACCTAAATGTCATGCAGCTTTACAGAGTAAAGCTTTGATTTAGATTAATTTTTTTAAAGCATTTACAATTCTTTTCCCAAATACTTACATTCCTTTGTGAAATAAAATTATTCCATTATGTTCTTTATGAAGTAAGATAATGAACCATATTTCTTCAGGCTGGGGTACCTGCTTTTCCTGAAGACAGAGCTGGGCATGGATGTTTTTAGGAAACATTTAAGAGAAATGTACTTTTTGCAATCATGTGGCACCAATAACATAGTATTTGGTGAAATGTATCTGGGGGTGGGAGGCAGATGCTGCTAGATGAACATAAGCCCTCTCAACAGGGCAGGAGCTGTTGGGAAAGGTTGTGTGGTCACTCTGTCTGCTCTGACCTGCTGTGGTACACCACAACATCTACCAAAAGCTACGTGCAAAGACATAGGAGATCTCTGATCTGATCTGACCTCTGATCACTCCTGCCCTGTTCCATGGCATAACTGGGGGCTGAAGATGAATTCCAGTTCTGCTAAGATTTCTGCAGAAACTTAAATCTCTATTAACAAAAAATGTTTAGATATGGGATATGTGGGAGAAGTAAAGGTCCAATTTTAAAAATACATGTAACAAGAACCCCTCAAACCCAGTTCTTCCTTCTGGTCATAAAAAGTAGCCATTTTCTCAACTGTTTTCCTGAAAGGAAGTTTTATACATGATGCTGACAATACAGATAAGCTGGCAGAGGAAATAAAATAATTTTTCCCCATGCTTCTACTATCAGTGATGGGACTAGGCCTTTCTGTGTTCAAAGTGAACATTTAGCGTTTCTAGAGAACATGACATATCTTGACCAGCTGCTGTAAGGAACAGCAAGAAATAGTTTATTAAATTTTAATATATATTGCATTTAGGTATTAAACACAAAGTCAAAACCAGCTTTAATATTTCATTTGCTGGCACACGGATGTTTTATTTGGGGAATTTGGGTTTTTTCATCATAAGAAATTTTATTTCATGACTTTCCTATTCATAGCCATTTGTATGAATTTTGATAGATGCTTTTACAGAAATTTTGTGTCCAGAATGACTTTCAGGACTGTAGCCCACTCTTTTTGAAATTTAATTTTAGTGTTTTATTGACACATTTTAAAAAACGAGATTGTAGGAAAAGCAGTGTAGCTATTACTCGTAAGTAAACTCAGACTGTGTTTTAAATACCAGAACAGACATGTTAAATACCAGAAGATCAAAACAACAAGCAGAAAGAACAAACTTATGAGTGCATGATCAGATGTACAATATGTTTTGGGCATAGAGATGTTCAGTGTAGGAAACATGCTTTGAGGGGTAGCATAAAAGATGTAGCATTTGCTAAAGAAGCACTAACACACAAGAAAAAAGCATTTGGAGACAAAACAAAAGGAGAACACAAGCTGAGAAAGTCATATGGTTGAGGTGGAAACTGCACTGCAGCGCTTCTCATGTGTACATTAGCCCACAGTCCTTGTATTCATCCTGGTAAAATCACCTGTTACTGCTGAGGTGAGGAATACCAAAGCCATTCACTGACTGCAGAAGCAACTTTCCTTAATTATGGGCTTGTCATCGCCAGAAAAAAAGCGAGGGGATCACATTGCTGCTTAGGTGGATTATAAGTGTTCATGAACTTAATGAAATCACAGTTTCTGGTGGGAACTACTTCCAGAAGTTGTTGCACATAAATTTCATTAATTAGTTACATCTTCTAGTCCAAGAACCTGTATAATAAAACATATTGAATTTGTTGTGAAAGGTAGTATTTCAATTTTAAAATACTGTAGAAATATGTATTTCCCTGTATTTTGATCTATTTGAACCCCAAAATGGTCTGCAGGCCCTCCTTTTAACTCTTTTGCTTGCACTAATTTATTTGGGTAGTTTCTGCTTTGAAAGATGAAGAGATTTTCTAATGAGACATGAGCAGATGATTTTCTAAGTTCTGCCATAATGAAAGATTGATGAAATACAGAGATCTGCTGATGAAAGTTTAATCCGAGGATGTGGCTGCTAACTTACCTCAGGCAGAAGCATCTTCCAGGAGACTGTAATCACTCTTTTCATAGGTTACACTATTATCCTGACCTTTGGAGTTTCTTATTTAACAATCCTGGGGTAAGCAGAGGCTTCCTTATTTGGTTAACTTGGGTTGTGTGGGGATTTTGTGTTTCATCCCTTGTTTTCAGTTGATCAGTTGGTAAAATATGTTTGATTTTAAAAAGCCCGGAGGGCCTTCATAAAATCACAAACAAAAGCAGTTTCCCAAAAATTGGTGGGTATGCATGTATGTGTACACTGAGCTCCTATGTTTGATATGTATATATGGACATTAAAGGAAAATAAATGTCCTGTATATGTGCAACCCTTTGTCAGACTTGGTTTATTAGATGATATACCTTGTAACTTTTAAATGTCAAAAGCAACTGTCCTTTGTACAGTCTTCCTGTCCTGCTGTACTGAAAACACTCATGATGATTCATTTGGTATTATTTGTAAATAAGAACAGTCCTTGCAGTTGCATAAATAGTTTGATTCCAAGATCACTAAGGTCGTGGTCTCATGGAGGTGTTACAGGTGTATCAGTGAATAATTGTCAGTGGTGTGTTTGCTTCTTAACAAGCCACACAAGGCCATGTTTTTCTGCTCGTTGTTAAAAGTATGTTTACACCCTCAGCCTACTGAGGCTATAAAAGGGCTGTTCTTTTCACTTGCAATATGCATGACTGCATTAATCATTCCTCGGGTTGGGTTTTGTCTCTCCTCCTGGACTGCTGGTGCATGCCCTTTGCTTTCTGAGCGGCTCACTAACAAGGAAGAGAGAAAAGGCAATGGCCCATCAGTTTTGTAAATGAGATTGTGTTAGCACATTTCCCTGAATCCTCCTTTATCTTCATTGCTCTTCCACTAGTCCATAGCCCACCTCCAGTTTTAAAAAATTGACAAGACTTTAATTGCCTGAAAGATCACATTTTCTTCTCTCCTGACTTCATACAACAGCAGTATATCCAGCTGAAGTATTCAGTGGTTAGCTGGCAAGGAGGGCTGCTGGTGAATTCGGGAGACATTTTTGATGGGAACTGAATATGGAACTGGATGGGGTGGGCACCTGGTACGT